TAAAGCTGGAATGAATTAATGAGTGACCTTGGAGGATTTTAAGCAAGAGAGGCATTTAAAGCTGTGTTTTGAGACTCGAAAGTGGGCATAGCGTCTGCTCTAGGCCGTCCTCTGGTACTTGTTATGCACCTGCTGTGTGCGGTGCACCGGACCACAGTGCTGCCTCCGCCTGAGTTCTGGAAGTGGAGACCGGGCTCTGAGCCTGGCTGTGCAGCCTCAGGCCCGTGCCCTGGCCTCTCTGGGCTGCAGTCTGCACGGCTGTAACCTGGGGCTGTAAGGAGAGAGGATTGAGACCCAGCAGCGGCCCGTGTTGTCTGCGCCCAGTGCTCAGAATGGGCGCATTTAATATTGTGAGTGGAGAGACCCCCCCATTGTAAGGCAGACGATTCTGAAATGATTTCTGAATTAGCGGCCATATCCGGTTATTTATGCTCCTGGTGCAAAATACCGTGTGACTGTATTTCCTGATGCCTTTACTTCACCTTTGACCCACACACTGGCTGCAGGGGGCTGGCGGGGGGCTCTTGGGGGTCCCACTCCATCAGCCCCACACGTCCTGGGACGCCTACAAGCCAGGATCAGTCCCTTTCTACCTGTCCCCGTGATGTCCAAGTGTACAGAAGTCCCGTGTATTGACAGAATTTTATTTTATTTTTTAAGATTTTTAAAAAGATTTATTTACTTATTTACTCATGATAGACATAGAGAGAGAGAGAGAGGCAGAGACACAGGCAGAGGGAGAAGCAGGCCCCATGCCAGGAGCCGGACGTGGGACTCGATCCCAGGACTCCAGGATCGCCCCCTGGGTCAAAGGCAGGTGCCAAACCACTGAGCCACCCAGGGATCCCTTTTTAAAGATTTTTAAAATTTTATTTATTCATGATAGTCATAGAGAGAGGAGAGAGAGGAGAGACACAGGCAGAGGGAGTAGCAGGTCCCATGCCGGGAGCCTGATGCGGGACTAGATCCCAGGTCTCCAGGATCACAACCTGGGCCAAAGGCAGACACTCAACTGCTGAGCCACCCAGGCTCGACAGAATTTTAAAAAATTGTGCTTACTTGACGGGATGAGCACTGGTGATATATGTTGGCAAATTGAACTCCAATAAAAAATTAATAATAAATAAAAAAATAAAAAATTGTGCTTAAAAGATGCATCACATACAGTTTGCCCTTTTAACCGTTTTGAAGTGTGTCCTTCAGAGGCGCATCAGTGCACTCCCCCTGCTGGGGGCTCCTTAATAGTCACCGTCGTCACCCCATGAGGCTGGTGCTCCCCATGCCTCCTCTCTGTGGCCCCAGGCGACCACGGGTCCACTTTCTGCCTCTCCGGTGGTGCCTTTGCTGGACACTTCATGTGAATGCGACCACACGATGTGCAGTGTTTGTGTCTGACTTCTTTCATGTAAAATACTCCCCGGGAGCCACGCTTCATCCCGGTTTCTTACCAAATAGCATTCCATGGCGCAGATGGAGCACACCTGTCTGCCCATTCAGCCACTGGTGGGGACGTGGGTTCTTTCTGACCCCGGGCTCTGCGCATAGTGCTGCTGTGAACATGCACGCGTGCACAAGCTCTTGCTTGAACACCTGTCTTCAGTCCTTCAGGGCACAGACCAAAGAGTGGAATTGCTGGGTTCTAGAATTCTATGTTCCGTTTTCTGAGGAACTTCCCGACCGGTATCCACAGCGGCTGCCCCATTGTCCCCTCCCGCTGGCGATGCGCGAGGGTTCCGGTTTCCCCACGGCCTGCCAACACCTGGTGTTTTCTGTTGTTTTGACCTGTAGGCATCTTAGCGGGTGTGAGGTGGCACCGCACTGGTTTTGATTTGCATTTCCCTCATGAGCAATATTCAGAGTCTTTTCACTCTCTTGTGGGCTGTTTCCTGCTCTTCTCTGGAGAAATGCCTGTTCAAGTCCTCTGACTTTTTTAAATTGGATTGTCCTCTTGTTGTGAAGATGTAGGAGCTCTTTCGGATGTGATCTTTGAGTATTTACTCATTTGTCCGGCCATTCACAGCTACAGGGGGTGGGCAGCCCCGGGAACCCCGCATTTAGCCCGGACCTGGCCCTGCGCTCAGGTGCTTGTGGTCTGCTGGGAAGGCTGGATGTGGAAAGAGCCACGGTGAGAGCCCACGGGTGAGGTTGGGACTCGCGGGACAGGTGCCCACCCACCGTGTGCTTCCTCGGTGCCTGGGGGCCAAGAGGTTTGAGCTCGGGGGACTTGCACTTGGGCACGTGACATGTAGAGTTTGCCAGACAGAAAAAGGGAGAAGGAGTGGCCTCCCAGGCAGGGGGACCCGCATAAGCGAAGGTGGCTGGGTGGTGGGAGGCCAGATCCCGGGAAGCCTCTGATTCTACGCCAAGGAGCCTGGGGAGCTATGGATGGGCTTTGAGCAGGGGAGTGACATGGTCAGACCTGGGTGCTGGCAGGGGACTGCCTGGAGGTGAGAGACCAGGGCTGCAGTGATCTGTTTCGGCCCCTGGGGTCCATCCTCAGTCCAATGGAGTCCCTTTGCCCAACTCCTCCCCCAGCAGGGTTCTTACCCCAGGCAGCGGGGGCTCTGCAGCCTGGAGACTGCTGCAAGAATTTGGGTCTGGGGAGCTTGCTTTCAGCGTCCAGGATCCCAAGCGGGCTCTTCCCGAGGCGTGGAGGCTGGTTCCCATCCATCTCAGTTCCCCGGGTCGGTTTTCTGAGCATCTACAATTACTTTGGGCTGAATTCCCCAGATTCCAGCCCGCTCCCAGCCCAACCCGCCCAGATGCTCTTCCTCCATGCCAGCCTCGGGCATTTCTGCCATTGTGCCCGTGGGAGACCCAGGGGGGTCTTGGCCAGATTAGCAAGTGGGGCGGGCAGGCCGTGGGGATTGAGTGTCGCCGGGGCTCACGCCACACGGGGACTTTCCCAGCTGGCTGTGGGTGCTTGGCTGCCCTGGAAAAACACTGACTTGTTTCTCTCCAGAAAGGGGCTGGCAGCCAGCGGGCAGGAGCAGGGAACTCGGTGCGCCAGGAGGCCAGGGCCGTGGGCATCAGCTTTGGGGAGCTCCTCGTGGTCTCCCTCATTCCCACACTCTGTCCCTCACCCAGCCAGCCTGGCCTCTTGTTTGGGAGCCAGATGCCACTCTGAAACTTGTTGCCCACGGGTGTGCCCAAGCCAGCCCCCCCACCCCTTCCAGCACAGGGTCTGCCCTTTTCTGGGTGCTCAAAACCAAATAACTGGTACAGCTTCTGAGGGACACAGTTTGGTGATTCCTCAAAAAGCTGAACAAATGATCTTATGACCCAGCAATTCCACTCCTGGAAATATGCACCCCCCCCAAATTGAAAACAGGGACTCAAACAAAAACTCACACACCTGTGTTCGTAGCAGCACCGTTCACAATTGCCGAGAGGCGGAAGCAAGCCAGTGCCCCGCCACCGGGGGAGTAGATACACAGGAGGTGGTCCCTCCATAAAATGGAATATTATTCAGCCATAAAAAGGATGGAAGCACCGACACCTGCTACAATGTGGCTGAGCCTGGGAAGCATGATGCTGAGCGAAAGGATCCAGGCAGGAAAGGTCACCTACTATGTGATTGCATCTCTGTGGAATGTCTAGGACAGGTGAATCCACAGGGACAGAAAGTAGATTTGTGGTTGCAGGGCCTGGTACAGGGGGCAGGAGGGCAGAGAAGGGGATAGGGAGTACCTGCTGAGAGGCATGGGGTTTTCATTTTGGGGGTGGTGACAACATCCTGGAATGTGGTAGAGGCGGTGGTTGCATGTCTAAGAGCCACAGAACTGAATGCTTTAAAAATGGTTAGCTGCATGATCTTTTTTTTTTTTTAAGATTTTATTTATTTATTCATGAGAGATACAGAGAGGCAGAGACACAGGCAGAGGGAGAAGCAGGCTCCCTGCGGGGAGCCCGGTATGGGACTTGATCCCTGGACTCCAGGATCACACCCTGAGCCGAAGGCAGGCGCTAAACCCCTGAGCCACCTAGGAATCCCCTAGCTGCATGATCTGTGAATGTCACCTTGTGACATGAACACGCTGACGCCACCTCTGTGCATGGAGAGTGAGTCTGGCGGGTGCCTTCCTGTCTCTGGCCAGGGCCCGGAGGGCAGAGGGTGCCAGATTAATTATACGGCACCCCCCCTGGGGACCATTCTGAGGATACAATGTTGCAGGGAGGACCCTGCCCAGCCCAACGCAGGGTGGGTGCTCCGTGCACGCCAGCGGCTGCTTCCTCCCCGAGTCCGACCAGGTGGACTGACAGAAGCGAGTCCGACCAGAAGCGAGTGACTGACAGCAGCAGCTGTCTCCATGGGTGCAGCCTTTCTCCCTGAGATTGTCTGGTCTGAGCTTACGTAGTGGTGGTGGTGGTGGTGGTAGGGGTGGAGGTCAGATATTTTACCCTCCCATTTCACGGATGTGAATACTGAGGCTCAGAGAGGCAGAGCGCCTTCCCCAAGATTACAAGATGGGCTGCAAATGGAGTCAGGACCCTGTGGGCTCAGCTCCCAGCCAGCTCAGCAGCCTGCCGGGCTCAGGAACCCCCAGCGGAGCCCGGGAGCTACAAGAGATGGGGAAGCCCAGTGGTCAGGATTTGGGGGCTGGCTGTGGACAGTTTGGAGCTGATGGTTGAATCCCAGGAGTGAGGTTGGGTGACCCGACGGGTCTGTGTGTCTGACTCAGAGGCATGGGGGGCTGTGGTTCTCGCATCCCATGGGACGGCGGTTGATTCCCGGGATGCATGACCCATGGTTCTTGCCTCCCCGGGCCGAGGAGGCACGGGCGCCTGTGCCTTTTCAAGCTAGGATCGTGCCTCTTGGCCAACGGGAAATGGATTCTCGAAGGCGGAAGCTGTTTGGTGGTCCAGCGGCAGCAGAGCTCGGCAGGTCGGGGGCGCTCGGAAGCCCCTGGTGGACTGGGGGCCTGGGCAGGGTGGCAGGCGGAGGGCAGGGGTCTCGGGCGCAGCCACTCACCTCCCCGTGTCCCCTCGCCTCTCCACAGAGCGCTGTCATCCGTCGTGGCCCTGGGAGCCAACATCATCTGCAACAAGATTCCTGGCTTGGCCCCGCGGCAGCGTGCCATCTGCCAGAGCCGGCCCGATGCCATCATCGTGATCGGGGAGGGGGCGCAGATGGGCATCAACGAGTGCCAGTACCAGTTCCGCTTCGGACGCTGGAACTGCTCCGCCCTTGGCGAGAAGACTGTCTTCGGGCAAGAGCTCCGAGTAGGTAAGGGCGCCTCCGGGCTCGCAGGGACCCACCACCGTGGCTTCAGGGGCCAGGCCACCCCCCGCCCACCCCCCCACCACCCCCCCCGCTCCAGGGCCGCACCGTCCCCAGTGCCTCCGCCAGAGCGGCTTGCCCTGCGCCCAACTCCGGGCCTGGCCTGCTGGGGGCCCGGCACCCCAGGGAGACCCAACCGTGTGAGTGGATGAGGGGCATCTCGCCGGGCCATGGGGCTGGAGGACGTCGCTCGGGCGAGGTTGTGAGGCCCGAGCAGGTGGTGGGCAGCAAGGTGCAGTGGCTAGAGGCACGCCCTGCTCGGCGGCTGCATGGACCTTGGTGCGCCACTTCGTCTCTCCTGCCTTAGTTCTCTAGCTGGAAATGGGATGAGAGCAGGAGCTCCTGCATGGGGTTCTGGGGCGGGGCTCGAGGCGGATGGTGCCGTTGATGTGGAAGGAATTCCAGGCCGAGGGCAGGTGCAAGCAGAGACGAATGGGATGCTGTGCACACGTGTGTGGGAGCACCGAGGAGCCTGACGGGCTGGAGGGCAGGGTGGTGGGGGACGGGTGTGCAGGTGGACTCTGGCCGGGGAAGGGGCTGGGGCTCCAATTCTGTGAGCAGTGGAAGCTCCCGAGGTCTGGCAAGCAGAGGTGGCCAGGTGTCTGCTGGCCAAGCCCCCCTGCATGGCCGTGCACAGTCCCCAGGCCACATCCTCCATCTCTGCGTCTTCCCAGCCCCGAGGGAGGCCCCGTGGTGCCCATTTTACAGGGGTGGGGAGCTTGAAGGGAGAAGTGGGGCTTCCAGAGCCCCATCTAGGTTGGGATCTTGGAATCTGGCTGCGTGTCCCTGGGGCACGGCACTTGGGGCTGCCCAGGCCTTTCTGTCCTCGGTCCTGAAGAGCTCTGAGCATCGGGGGCCCTCATCTGGGTTCCTTGAGCCTCTCTTGGGCCTGCACGCAGTAGGTACTCACTAAACTGCCGCTGAACCGGTGACGGTGGGGAGGTGATGCAACCTGCCCTTCCAGGAGGGTCAGATGGGGGAGCGATAACTTGAGGGCACAGCGCCAGGTGTGCAGGGGGTGCCCTGTTACTTCAGACCCCAGCCTGTAGGCACAACACGTCCTTCCGATTCCAGTGGGCTGAGGAGCCACAGCTGCCGGGACCCAGGCCAGAGCCAAGCTCTGAGAGGTTTGGAACGTCTGGCATAAGGCTGGGGGTGGCGCAGGGGAAAGCCCCCAGGGCCCCTTTGCGGTGAGCAGGCTGTGGGTGGCACCTGGCACAGGCGGGAGGGTGGCACCGCCCCCTCCCTGGGGCCCCACCACCCAAGTGCAGCTCCCTCCCTGCAGGTGCCAGCTGGAGAGGGTGGGGCTGCCCGCCCCGTCCTCCGTCCTCCGCAGTCGGGAGGGCGTCGGCACCGGGGCCTGCTTCGTGCCAGGTGTCCGCTTGCCTGCCTGGCCTCTCACCCCCGAGACTCTGGGCTCTGGGGGCAGCAGTGAGCACCCCCACGGTGCAGCTGCATTGCAAGGTCACCTGCGGCCACAGGGTTTGCACACGGTGGAGCTTGGGTTCAGATCCAGATCCCCATCTGCCATCATGTCTGTTAGTCCTTGCTTCCTCCCTGTGTAGAGAGACGGGCAGTGGAGATGGTCCCGTGGCTTGACAGAGGGTCCCATGGCTTCGGGACCACAAGACACAGGCAGTGAGGGAGACATGGCCACTCTGAGCCTCTTCTCAGGGTCAGGTCCCAGGCAGGGGGTCACCAGTGGTGCACAATAAATGCCAATAAAGAGCCTGAGAGGAGTGGCATTGGTCCCGCCGATGACCTGCCCCCCCTGTAGTGGACCCTATCAGGGCCCACCCAGATTACCTGCACTGACCGTTGGGGAGCCCCTGGGTCCCAGATAACAGCTCACCGCTGTTCCTTCTGGACATTAGCCCAGCAGGGAGGGGCCTGGGGAGTCTGCAACTTGGCCCACGGGGAGGGTCAGCCACGACCAAGGAGGCACTGATGCAGGGGTGAGGCTGGGGGGTGCTCTGCACTGCTTTCAGGCTCCGCTTCCTGGGAGCCCACCCAAGGCGCCTCCTCTCACCTCCACGAACATTTCAGAGGCAAACCTTCTAGCGGAACCGTCGGCACCCAACATCCCCACCCCTCACCTTCCTGCTCCCACAGCCCCTGACCCGGCCGTCAGTGACCCTCATATGGCCGACCCATCCCCTCTTCCTCTTATCTGCCTAGCTGCTCCTCTGAGCCCTGAGCCCTAGCCCCAGTCTGCTCTCCATGGGGCCACACCCAGTGTGGCCGCTCCCCGGGGACGCTCAGTGAGGTTGGCCCGTGGGAACCTCTGACTCAACATGCTCAGCATCTTGTTGCTGGAATCTGCCATCCCTGACCTTCCCCCCCAGACCTGAGCACCTGTCATCTCAGCAGAAGCCTGGTGTCGATGTTCCCGTCCCTCCCTCCACCCTGCCCCACGGCCACGCAGGACCTGCCTCTCTGGCCCTTCCCTGGCAGCTGCCTCCCCTCCAGCCTTGGCCAGGCCGTGTCACTCCCTCCCTCCCTCCAGGACCTGCAGCAGCTCCCCTATTGCTCCAGGATAAAGGGAGCTCCTCAGCCTGGAGCCTGAGTAATCCCTGCCGTACATCACCCCGGCCCCTCTTCATCCCTTCTGGGAACCAGGGCTTCTGCCTGGCTGACACCCTCTTCCCAGAGCAAGCTGCCCCTTTTCTCCTCCGGGACTTTGTCCCCGCCGCCTGTAGCCCTGGGAGGCCCTCCCCTCGGCTCTGCTTATTCGCGTCTGATTTCCCTGGAGAAGACCCCCTGAGCCCCTGCGCCCTCGCTGGCTCCTCCTGCCCACCGCGGCCGGGCTCGTCCTGGTGCTCCGTCCTCAGGGTCTCTCAGCCCCAGGCCAGCTGGGCACCTGCCTCTGCTTTGCCCCCGGGGGGCTTCCTGCCACCTGGCTGAGGCCTCCTGCCCTCCCTGGCCCCGGCCTGGCCCCCATTTGAGCCAGGAGGGTGGTCTCAGCGGGCACCTGCTCCTCCTAGAACTCGGCGCTGGGAATCGTGAGCAGGAAGTGGGGCCAAGTGGCAAAGCCAGGCCGTGGCAGAGGCATGCGGCTGCCCCGGGCACGAGACGGGAGATGGGCCATGAGCTGGCAAGCAGCCGGGGGCACTCGTGGGAGCGGCCACTCAAGCGGTGCCAATTAATGATTGGCCCCAAGTGGGGGGATGGCCTGGGTAGGTGGGGACGGCCCCCTTTAGGCCTTGCCTGTGACCTTGGGCCATGCCTAAATCTTGAGAACTGACGGGAAAACCTTTCAATGGGCAAACGAACCCCCGTGCAAAGTTCCATCCCCTTTTCCAGCACCTGGTGCTGTTGCTTGCATACCTCCAGGGACGAGGAGCTCACTACTCCAGATGAGCTAGATCTTTCTTATGATGCTGCTGCACTGGCTTTGCTCTGAGGCGCCACCCCCTCCAGGTGCTAGTTGTCCAGCTCCCTTCGGGGAGTCAGGACCCCCCACACAGTGTCACCTCATGTCTGGTGGCCTCCATCCTCTGGAGCCCACCCTGGAGCCTATTTCCTCATTTAGCGAGGGCTGCTTGGAGCCAGGTTCCTCCTGGCCCGTCTCTCCTGTTAGCTGGCAGTGAGCTTGGGGAGGGAGGGTGAATGTGTCCCCAGCTCAGCTGTCTTCTGCCCTGGGGCGGGCAGGGGCACGACATGAGAGTTGGGTGGTGCAGTTGTATTCCAGGGATACTTGTTAAAAGCCTGGTTCCCCCATGACCCCAAGCAAAGCAGAGCGTTTCTTACAGGCACCGTATTCGAGTCGGGACTGTGGGAAGGGCTCCCCTGACAGGGTGATATATGTAAGCTGAGACCCGAGAGAGAATCAGAGTGACCCAGACCAGCCTGGGGTGAGCACAGGGAAGGGGGTTCCAGACAGAGGGAACAGCAAGGCCAAGTCCCAGAGGCCAGAAAGCGGATGGTACTTTCCAGGAACTGCAGGAGGCTGCACCAGAGGGCCGGGAGATCTGGGCCCAGAGCAGGGGCGGAGCTGGGGTGCAGCGACCCCGAGGGCCCCGCGGAAGATGGGGAAGGTTCTGAGCAGGAGAGGGACTTCCCTAGAACGCTGGCACCCTCCAGCTGCTGCCCCACCCCCTGCCCGGGCCCTGAGCCCTGTGGGACCCACTGGCACGGGCACAGGGGGTACAGCTCTGTGCACGCCAGCACCCCCCACCCTCCCTAAGCTGCCATGGAACACCGAGTCCCGCCCATCATGTGCAGCCTCAGACATGACCAGGCATAGGGGCCGCCCCTAATCCCGGCTCATGTGGCTGCCTGGGGCTGGCGGCTTGCTTTGCGGTAGGGGCTCGGCCAAGGCCCTGGGCTCTGGGACAATCCGAGGGCGCAGAGTGACTTACCTCCGAGTGTCTGAGACAGGAGGGAAGGTCTTGGGGCTTCAGGCAGGAACCTCAGAGGGGAGGCCTGACTCCGGGGTCTTCCGTGACGGCCGTGTGCCGAGGCGCCTTGCCCGGGGTTTTGCCAGCCAGGCTCAGGTGACATGTGACATTGGTGCCCGGGGGGAAGGAGGGCAAGCTGACATGCGCCGTGAGTGTAAGACACGCAACAGGCTCTGGAGCCGTCCAAAGGCAAAGTCTTTTGTCCAAGCAAAATCTCTCTTAAATCATCTTCGCAACGAGCACATGCTGCAGGGGTCCCGTTTGGACATATTGGGCAAATAAACCATGTCGTGAAGATGAAGTCCACCTGGTTATTCTTGGTTCCCTTCAGTGACACACGTGGCGCCCGTGAGACTTCTTGAGTCAGCCTGGGCAGGCCGGGCGCGGACCCTTGAACCCAGATCTGACTCTGGCTCTGGCGGGACGGCGCAGGGTGAGGGCAGAGGGTCCTTCGCTGGCTGCTTCCTGGGGCAGCTGCTGGAGTGTACGGGCGACTGCCCTGGCGCTCCCTGGTGTTCGGCCTGCATGCACTGAGTGCCCGCTGTA